TGGGGCTGCCCATGAAAAGTGTTCAGAGACTACAATTAGTCCAGAATGCAGCCGCGCGAGCGATACTGGGTGCACCGAGATACACCCATGTTACACCCATCCTCCACCAGCTGCACTGGCTCCCTATTGGTCTCCGAGCACGATTCAAGGTGCTGGTTATCACCTTTAAAGCCCTACATGGCCTAGGACCCGGATATCTACGAGACCGTCTTCTGCCGCACACCTCCCTAAGACCGATAAGATCGCACAGGATGGGCCTTCTCCGGGTGCCTTCAGCGGGACAATGCCAGCTGGCGACGCCTCGGAGTAGGGCCTTCTCTGTTGCCGCTCTGACCCTATGGAGTGAGCTACCCCCAGAGATCCAGACCCTACCCACTCTCATGGCCTTTCGGAAAGCTATTAAAACCTGGCTATTCTGGCAGGCCTGGGGCTGTTGACCTCTGGATTGAGGTCCAGCCCCGCTTAGATTGGGTGCATGTTGTGTCTTTTTAAAATTTGCCCTGTTTTATCTGTTTTTAATCTTTCTTAATTTTTGTTTCTGTAAGCCGCCCAGAGTCCTCCGGGATTGGGCGGCCTATAAATTTAATAAATAGTAAACACAGTAAACACTTCTGTCCTTGGCACTAACCACTGATTGCTTTAGCCCTCATCTTCATATAGCTCCCATATACTATCCCTGCAAAAACATGACTTCCAAAGGTTTTGTTCTGCCCTGCCTTGCCCTTCCCTTCTCTAACCTCCTGCCGCCCGTGAAGAGCGCTAGCTTTTCCTCAGGGGAAAGAGCTGACCCGCTTTTTCATCCCAACTCACATCCCCTGCGTTGCTGCAGGCGCCTGCTGGTGCGGGGAATCCATACTTTCTGGAGGGGAGTCTGTGTGAGCTCCCCAAACTCTCCAGACATCCTGACAACCGTCTTCCTAGCTTGCAGAACTGGACTGTCTGGCTCTTCCTGAAGGCTCAGCTATGGCTGAGGATCCTGTGTTTGCATATGCATGAAAGATAGGTTCGGTGTGGGACGGCGAGGTCGTTGAACTCCCACCTTTGTATACACTACAGATAACTTGCAGCTCACTTCTGGACAAATATACTTTGCTCTATTCGGGAGAGAAAGGTCCTGATATCATTTTGAATCACCACTGAAGAAAGTGATGACACACAGGCATTGAAAGAGATACCCTGTTTCATTTCTTAGCCTTTGTAATCCAGATTTTTTCCCCCCCATCTGACATCAAGGGCAGTGGTAGTTTAACAACCTGCCGGTTTAAAAACTAGTTCGATGATCGTGCGCTTCATGTCTGTGCACATTTTTAAGAAAACTTACCTTCCACATTACTGCTGGGGAGTAACACAGCTGAGGTGCAGCAATCCACTCTGCCACGCAAATCAGCTGAGAAGATATTGGTCCAGACGCAGCCGCGCGAGCGATATTGGGTGTACCTAGATACACCCATGTTACACCTATCCTCCNATAGATAGATAGATAGATAGATAGATAGATAGATAGATAGATAGATAGATAGATAGATAGATAGATAGATAGATAGATAGATAGATATAAAATCATTTTGTGGAAGCTGCTTTTAGAAGTCTTTTTTCAAGTATTTGTAAGGACAATATTCTTTTAATGAAATATTGGCGCTGGCATTTCCCATTACGGCTGCCACCTATGCTGACTCCACACACCCTATTTTTGGCCTCCATGTGTCCCGTTTTCAGCCTCCGCGCATCCTGCTTTCAGCGCATTCCAGCTGGTGGGGATAGGTGGCAGTGGCGATGGGCAGCACCAGCGGCAATGGGCGGCAGTGATCCCCGCAACCTGGAACTGCTGATCTGCTGTCTTCCCCAACAAGTAGACAGGGTAGCTGGCAGAGTCGATTGTAAGCAGATGGTGCAGAGGGGAACTGCCCACCCTGCCAATAGGAGTCAATGGGAGCCCTTGACTGCCTCATTACTAGGACAAATGAAGCTGCTGTTCCCTGCACTGCTTCAGCCTGCTCTCCACCCAGCCATACACAAGAGCCCTCAGCCAGCTCCAGAGCCCAACAGGTTGCCATGGACCTTTCTGTTCATCTAAACTTTTGACAGATGCACTCAGCCAATGTGAGACACAGCCCTCCTAACAGAGGCCATCTTGTGTCATTCTGTAAATGGGAACTAGTGTCACAATTCTATGGGCTCCATTTTAAGGAGGCTTTAAGGTTCGTGGTGATAACATCAATTTGCAGAATATTGTAAGAGGTGAGGAACAGGCCAAAAATCTGAGTGAGCCAAGATTGCAGTCATTGATCAAAACAGTCATGTGACATCTTGCTAAATAACTGCTTCACTTAATAACTGAAATTTCAGACCCAATTGTGGTCATAAGTCAAGTACTGCCCATATAATCATCTTCTTTAGACGACCCCATAATCCCTTGCAGAGCGGAGTCTGGGCAACTGAATGTAGCTGAGTGTTTACTGGCCAGATGCCCTTCCTGTCGGCAATGCAGAGTTATATTCAGCAGATATATTCTCAGTGTTCCCAGAGAGAGAAATATCTGTCTCTACGTAGGATCGAACTCACAGCCTCCTGATTGTGAAGCGAGAGCTCCACCTCTAGCTCACTACACCACTAGTACTGCCCATATAATAATTGTAGAATATTATAACTGTGGTTATAATACCTCTTTGTCTACCATGTTTGATAGCTTTGGTGTCTGTGTGTTCAGATATGTTAATCAGCATATTTCTAGCTTCTGATTTAGGCACTTCTACACTGTCACTGCTTCTATCCTCCAGTTCCATGAAAGCAATTTGAAGGTAATAGGTGAGAGCCTTCTCGTCTGCCAACTTTTCAATGCTGACGGGGGAAAGGGTTATCAATTCTTCAGTTACTGGAAGTCTCAAAGAACCAAGCATTCCTTCCCTTCTCCTCCATAAAAAAACAGCTGGGAAGTTCATTGGGCCAGAGTTTGTACAAGTGTGGAAACCGACCACCCATAATGTCTCATAGTCCTTCAAAGAAATTACTAACTTTATTGTGGTTTCAAATAGACGGCAGCTGAGCCAGAATATGAATAAAATGGACTTATATGTTTTTTTAAACATAGTCTTCATGCTAATACCACAAAGGCCCAAAGCTGCTTTCACACTGGCCTTGAATCAGGCTGTAAGAAAAGTATTGCTGGCATTGGCTTTTTCTGTCATGCCATTGCAGAATCAGAATCTTTTCATACCCAAGGATGACAATCACGGCCCTGTTTGGAACTAGAACAAAAGGCTTCTCTCTTTGCTTTGTCACACTACAAGATGTAATTCAGCTAGAATCTGTGTGTTAGCAGACATACTGCATGATAAAATGAAAGCCACCATAACTCTCCACCATCCTTACAATATGCCATAGAACTTTACCTGTTACAGTCGCAAGTGTGAAAAATGATCATAAGTCATTTTTTTCCCAGTGCAATTGTAACTTCAAGCAGTCACTACATAAATGGTTGTAAATCAAGGACCACCAATCTATCTTTTTTATAGATAAAGCAGCCTTCCCTAACCTGGAGCTTCTCATTTGTTCTGACCTGATATTTCCAGAATTCTAAGTCAACATGGCCATTCTTTTCTGGAATTTTGAAGGTTGTTATTGCAAATATGTGGGTGTTACAGGTGAGAAAATGCTGTTTGTACCCTTATAGATAGACGTGTGTATAGCATATTTATTTATCAAATGCATATCCAAGTGACTCTGGGAGGCTCACAAATACAAACAAAAAAGCCATATAAAAGAGACATAATTAGAACGAAGAACAGAATAAAAGCTGAGGTTAAAAGGAGATTTCTAAGGCAGAGTTAACATCCTCGAGCGACTAACCATAACAATCCAGGTTGCATGCCACTCTTGAATCTCCAAGCCAGTTGACAGAGACAAGTCTTCTCACAATGCCAAAAAACCAAAAGACTATGGGTCAATTTCACTGCTGAGAACAAAATATTCCATGGGATGGGGGGCAGCAGAAGAGAAGGACCTCACCATTGTGATGACATGCGGGGAGAGGGAATAGTATTTCATGGATGTCTGTGTTTTGAATTTGTTCTAGGTCAGAAGGCTTTAAGAAAGTTCCGTATCATTACTATGAACCTGGGAGGAGTGAATGCGATGAGTACTTCCTTCATGAAAATGCACCCTACGGAGGCCACAGGTTCATCACAGAAAAGAAAGTATTTGCCGAATGGTCTAAGAAACATGCAATAACATTTACACACCCTAATTGGACTTTGTCTTGATGCTGGTTGTCTCAAACTTCCACAACAGATTTCAATGACAGTCCTCCTTAGGTGATAGCGCAGAAAGTGATGGTTCTGCTGTGTGCTGTTTGTGTGTCTGTGTGTACTCAGCTGTGGAGGATTTTTATTCTGTCTCATTTTAACTGGATTTTTTTCTTTCTTAGAAGATCAACTTGGCCACAGCTTATTTGCTTAGAGGATGAACTTCTGCTATGAGGGGAAAACACCATCCTATGCAAGCTCAGTGCTGTGCTGAGTTCTGTGGATAATGTCTCTAGTACTTGAATTTAAATGACAAATGTTACTATTAAAGTAACCCGCCCACCTTTTGGGCAGTAACAGCCAGACAAATCAGTCTTGTAAATATACAGTTTGCTTAGCTGCAGATTTACTGCAAATGAGCTACTTAGAGATGTGCTAAGAAGATCCTGATTGCACTTGATTTCTTTAAGAGGGCTGACTAAGTCTGAACTCAGAGACAATCCATATGATTATGACAGATTGCCCACCATCACCTCCAGGTGTTCTGACATGGTCTCCATTTTCTCAACATGTATTTATTTAAGTTATATCCCCTTTTTGGAGCACAACTAAGAATGGTGTCTAAGTCCCAGTATATAGTTTTGGGCAATGACATTTCTTGTGATCTCGAGTGATTTTCAGTTCCCAAACACCTACCTCACCAAGGGTGTTGTGAAGACAAATCAATGCAACTGCAGTTATTTTTTTTAACCAATCAAATATGCTTATTTATATTTTTTATATAAGTTCATGGATTCTTGACACATATTCCTCCTTATCTCCTATTTAAGAATACTAAACCCGTGTGTATGAAATTATTTCTTTGAAACTCTACAGCGACATTCCAACTCCGAAAGCTCGGTGTGGATTAATTTCTTCAAAAGATTTTTTTCGCATATTTTTTCCTCCCTTTGATGGTAAGAGAGCCTGGAATGCTTAATAGCTGCCCATGTGTAATTGAAGTGCTGCACGCCTTGTTTTATCCATGTCACAGAGAGCATACAAAGCATTCGATCATTTAAATTCCATTTTACTTAGAAAGATTTATTACAGAGATATGAGATCTAAAAAGCAGGGAAGAAAGAAGTGACAGATATTATAGTGAAATTTCATTCTATTTTTAAGTTGAGGAACCATTTNCCAGCCTAAATCTAATCAAATTCTTGCTTTATCTTTGTGTGTGTGTGGGGGGGGGGATCATTATAGCCTATCTTTCTGCAGCTTTACCTCCTGACACAGTATTATTTTCTCTATGCCATCCAGGAAACAAATGGTTTCTTTGGCTTCAGTACATATTCTGTACCAAGTGAGATACACAGGAGCATGTTTGCATTTTGCGGAGGAAAAGATTACCGTTACGAAGGGCCAAATATCCTGAAATGTTTTTGTTTGACAAAATGCAAAAGGAGGGCAACTGTAAGGTACTTAGACCATATAGAAACATGTTTAGCTGTAGTAAGTTTGATTAAAGATAATTAATTTGGGAATATTTCCAAATAAAGGTTTATAAAGACAGTGGCGTGAAACAAAGAAACTGGAAGGAAATTTGCATTTGATAAGGAATTCAGGGAAAAACAGAGTGGGCTTTTTAAAAGGCCCATCTGGAATCCTATTCTATGGCAATGGATGCAACAAAGATAGATTGTTTACTGTCACCATGCATTTGCACAGAACATGCCAAGGATACTTTCCCAAACTGAGTAGCATCTTGTCCATCAAAATGTTGGAGGCCCCCTATCAGTCATGTTCATTGTTTCTGAAGGCAAGGTTAATCAGAATGCTCTAATACTGGGACAGGTCACAGAGCGGCAACTTTGGGAACTGGTTCTCCTGTCATATGGTTACTGTACTTTTACAGAATTACAGAATAAGCGTTGGAAGGGACCTTGGAGGTCTTCTAATCCAACCACCTGCTCAAGCAGGAAACCCTGTACTATTCCAAACAAATGACTTTTCAATCTTCTTAAAAACCTCCAGTGATGGAGTACCCATTATCTCTGGAGGGAAGCCATTTCACTGATTAATTGTTCTCACGGACAGGAAACCTCTCCTTCATTCTTGATTGGATCTTTCTTTGATAAGCTTCATCCATTACTTATTGTGCTTGTCAAGCATAACAAATGAGGAACCAATGAGGTTCAATGAGTACATGTTTATTCTATGCTAGATCTCTACAAGAATCTGAACTACTAAGGCAAATTAGTGGTAGATGGAATTCAGGAATGACTGGATTTAGATCACTTGCGAGTGTGAAGAGACTGTAAAGTGATGACACACTTGGGCTCAGCTTGGTCATCAAGGAATCAAGATCATGTAAAGTGCTAATACCACTTTATAATGCCTTGGTTAATATGACTTAGAATATGGCATACAGTTTTGGTCACCACAATATAAAAAAGATGCTGAAACTCTAAAAAGTGCAGAGTGCAGAGAAAAGCAACAAAAATGATTAAAGGACTGGATGATGAAATATATGAAGAGCTGTTGCAGGAATTGAATATGTCTAATTTAATGAAAAAGAAGGACTGGAGTGGGGGGATATGATAGCAGTGTTCCAATATCTAAGGAGCTGCCACAAAGAAGAGGGGTTCAACCTATTCTCTAAAGCACCTGAGGGTAGGACAAGAAGCAGTGGATGGAAACTAATCAAGGAGAGAAGCAACCTAGAACTAAAGAGACATTTCCTAANCGCTATTTACAGCGTGCTTCTGTCTCCACGCTGTTCTCACCCTGTTGATGATGTCAGCGACGCGGTTTAGTCGGGCGTGGTTTAGTCGAGGGTGGTTTTGTCGGTGAACCATTCTTCTCAATAGAAATAGCGTTCTTCCATGATTTTCAAAATGAGCCAGTCGATTAGGTTCATTTTAGGTTGAATTATATCATTTGGTAGAATTTTCTTTAAACAGGACAAACAGGAATTTAAAGGTCTCTTGGGTTGTTACAGTTGAAAACATCTATGTACAGCACTTGGAAGATGTTTTGATTTTTCAGAAATGGCAACTTAGTCTAAAAGCCTAAGTCAAGATTGCCCAAACTTTTTGGTCCTGTAAAAGCTGTAATTTTCAAATAGAACAAACATAATGTAAATTACCTCTGATGCTTGGAAGAGTTTACATATCTGGGACATTGCAGAAATGAATATGAAATGAGCCCACATCCAAATAATATGGAAGCTATTTTAAAAATAAACTATTCTACTATCTTTAATAGAACTAGCAAGCTTGGGGGCACGGTACAGAAATTTAAAAGGTGTCTACATTTGACCAAAGATTTTATCAAACTAACTTTAAATATACTGCTCAAAATATACCATTTGATGGTGGGGACAGATGCAAGATAAAGTTTTTAGATGTGTCAAGCATCTCTTAACTGAAACCCTGTTATTAGTATTCTATAATGTCAACCAGCATCCTATTATTATAATTCCCAACAACAGCAGCTATGAAATAGGAGGAGGAGGAATGCTCCAAAAACTTAAAGGGGAGCTGAGGTCAAAAGTCTTTTCTAAAACATTTACAGATCCAGAAACACAATATGCCCAAATTGAAGGCAAGATTTTATGGGAATGTGGAATCCTTAGAGCTATATACAGACCAGAAGGAATTGGATTTCCCTGATAAGTTGCAAATATTTAAATTTGCTTGGTTACCAATGAGATGCCAGAGTCTTGTCCTTGAAATATTGTAACCCTCATATTNAATAGAATAGAATAGAATAGAATAGAATAGACTCTTTCTTCCCAAACTTTCATAATCAGTCCTGGAGTAAACCATCTTTATAGTGTATATAAATATAAGGCTTGATGCATCCCCAAAAGTTGCCCATTTTTGTGATAGGGGATGTTGCCCACTCTTTGCCCCATCCTGTTACAGAAGGAAAGCAGACCAAAAGTCTGGTTTGACAAACTTTATTCCACAGCCACAAAAACCTACAGTGATTTAACTGAAGGGCTTTAGAAGTACTTGTTGTGGGAAGGGACAAGCACGGGGGGTCATTCAGAATGTCATGCAAAAATTGCTGAATGTTACAAATATAGATAAAGAGGTCACAGCTGCATTCTAAAGTGAGAATACATGCAAAATATAATGAGGATATTTTTTTTTTTGAGAACCAGTTTGCAAGCTTGATGATTCTGCCAAATCGTGAGAAGTGTCTTGGAGACCAACAGCTGTGCAGTGTGTTTAAAATTGATATAAAAACTAAAGGAAATGGGTTTTCAGAAGTTGTCTAAAAAAGCTTCCAGAGTGCATTGCCTCCAACTGACTACAACATCTTTGGCAGCAAGAAATTAGGCTTCTAGGAGAATTTTATAGTTAGCAACCAGCACAGCGGCAAAGAATGTAAATGGCCAAAGAAGCATCTGTTGAAATAGACATAGTATGTTTATGAGGAAAAACAACATCGAGTCTTGCAAGGAAAAATAAACCATTCTTTCAATAAACTATGGCTTAAAGAAAGAGGTCTTGCCTAATTCTGGCCAGTTCATCTGGCCAGAATGATATCAGAGTTGTTGCCAAACTAAAAGCAGAACTGGGAAAGAGTAACTAGAGTTACTCTAGAGCAGTGTTTCTCAACCTTGGCAACTTGAAGATGTCTGGACTTCAATTCCCAGAATTCCCCAGCCAGCGAATGCTGCTCTAGAGTGTGGAGTAACTAAATGATTGTACGCCAAGAAGACTGGCATAATTTGCATATACTTAAAAAAACTAAAAAAAAAACCCTGTACAAGAGAGAAACCAACCCTTCTCCATGACCCGTCAAAACCGCGCTCGACTAAACCGCGCCCGACTAAACTACGTCGCTGATGTCATCAACAGGGTGACAACAGCCAGCACAGAGAAAGAAGGGCGCTTTAAATAGCACTTT